ACAGGGCGACAGTGGATATGAGAACTGGGTTAATCGTCACAGAGCTGCATCCTTCAGGATAGATCTGTGACTGCTTGTCTCAAGATAAATGTTTGGAAACAACCCCCACCCAAAACCAATGATATCCCTGAGGAGATGGCTTTTCTCCATGATTCAGCAGAAGGAGGCTTGGGGACACCCAGCCTAGAGATATTTTGAAATCAATGACTTCTGTGAGAGACAGGGGGAGGAGGGAAACGATAGTGCTATTGTGGAAACGCATGTCTGTTTTCCATTGGGGAGTCCTTGGGGGGATGAGTGGAAGCCTCTGGTCCTGAGCCAGCTCCCGTGGTCTCTCTTCCTTCTGGGAAGGGAATTTTCACAAAGAATTCAAGGAACCCAGCTCAGTGGAACAGAGGAGCAAACGGTTCATGAGAGCACCACGTGTAACAGGCGAAAACACATGCACAGCTTGCCAAGAGAGAGAGGTGGAAGAATCCAAATGTTTCCCATCCTTGGAGAATTTTTTGCCCTAGAGAGTGCAGCCCCCTTCATTAGTATGTTTTCCAGTTGCCCCATTTCAAACAAAACAAAATGGAAAAAAATTAAATAAGCCTTGGGAAATTGTGCTGTCTTGCACAGTGTTCTATCTGGGAAGAGGCATTGTACTTAAAAACAGAATCTGTCACACCTGGCTTCCAACCTGAATTTTGCAAGCCTGTATTTCTAGCATAGTTTCTGGGTCAGAACTTGTCATGACAAAATATGCTTTAGTGTCAGATTCTGAAGAAATAGTTCTGGATTTATTTATTTTTTCATCTAGACAAATGGAACTTTGCCAGATTTTTTTTTAAAAAAAGACAAAGGGTGGTTTTATTTCCCCTCTCCTGTTTTTGTTTGTTTGTTTAATTTGCAAAATTGCACAATGGTTCAATGGGAATCTCCTAGGAAAATAGGAAGCTGCCTTAATTCAGAATCAGACCATTGGTCCATTTACCTCAATACACTGCCAGTTACTACACGGGTTGGCAGCTGTTTTCCAGGATTTCAGGCAGAGCTGTCACCCAGTCACAATCTCTCAGCTTAGTCTTACCTCACAGGGGGGCTGTGAGTATAAATTTGGGGTGAGGCGAGTGAGACATGCTTGCTGCCCTGAGCTCCTTGGAATGAAAAGTGAGATACACTGGGAGGAGGCTGTGATGTGACAATGGATTATTTACTTTCCTGCTACACAAACCCTTCAGTCTGTAACTGATACTGTCCTCCAGGGGCCTCTTACCAGGGGAGGTTTGGCAGGTTGTGACAAAAGAAAGGGCCTTTTCAGTGGTGACTCCCTGCTTGTGGAATCCACCTGGCACTATCCTTAATGTACATTTATCACCAGGTAAAATGTATCTCTTGTCCTAGACATTTCACTGATAAGGATGATTTTGCTGTTCATTGGTTGTTGTTTTTTGCTGTTGAATATTGTGCCTCTATTTAAGTAGGTCTGTTTTATGGGTTATTACATATGTTTTATTGTAATGTATTTCTCTTTTATTCTGATGTTATGATTATTTATTTATGAATCACTTCTCATGAGGCATCCTGAAGCAATATGTAATATAATTTTTTAAAATGGAAAACCGTTCTGGGTTGTTTTTTTAAAAAAACACGCAGTTAAAACAATTGCATATATTATGTATTATAATGTATTAAATGTCTATACCACTCTTCATCCAAGGATCAGAGGGCACAAGTATATATCTATATCATCTATAATTTTCCTTTGTTTTTTATTATTGTTAATTTCTGATAGTGCTCTGTTACTGTAGAAAAGAAGTTATACACAGAGGGGTTATGGTGAAAAAAAGGGAGACAGTATGAGAGACAGGCAAGAATGGGTTTTCATCAGGTTGTGAGGTTGAGGAAGGGGAAAAACTTCTCAGGTGAGAGCGGGGGACCTCTTTGTATGTGGATTGAAGATTAGGGTAGAATTAGAATAGGGGGCTGTGTGTTTGTTGCTATTTCTATTGTCTTTCTCCTCTCTTTTCTTTTGTTTTTTCTCTTTCTTTTTTACTTCATTGGTTCTAGATATAATTTTATTATATTGTGGGGGGAAAAAATTCTGGAAAAAATGCAGTTTATATATGTGCTGTTGTGGTTTTAAATTGCAAGTCTAATACAGTTACTAACTGGGGTAAAGATTTTAATTTAGAAGGCTTGTAGGAACATCTTTAACAGGCACCAAAAATAAAACGGAAATATTTTTTTTTTTTGAGAGGCTCTTTAAATGGCAAGTGAGTATTAAGCTGCATTTATCATTGTTGTTACATTATGCGATGCAAAACAACAGCAGTTCATTGTGAGAGTTTGATGGGCTCCTGTTGGTGCCACACGCTTCTTGAGTCTGAGCACAGAGTATCTGATACCCTCAGCAATCTCCCATGAGGTGCTTGTCCGCGTTGCTAATGAGGCATCAAGAGAGGAATGACAGGTTGATGTCCTTGTGCCCCTAAGACTAGCTTTGACTTTCTGGATACGTGTTTTATCCGCTTCTATTATTATTATTATGGGGGTGGGAGGATCCTTAATAAAATCTATGGGTCGTGACTCCCTCTAAGTTGAGCCAAATCACCCCCTCTGTAGCTTTCTAAAAGCAGTTGCTAAGACAGCTGTCTCCAAAGGCATGAGAGGGGGGGGCTTCCCTCCCCTCCCTCCTTGCCTCTCTCCCCCCCTTCCCCAGTAATTTGAGTCTTGGTTTCACCTCTACTGCAGGTTTCAAAATGCACTGTTACCTTACAGAACTAAGAGTGAGGGCTCAGCTGCATGTTGATCACATTTTGAATTCTTGTGCTGAATTTCCATGTTCGACCAAGCAGGGATTTTTCATTGAGCAGGAATGTGGAAATAGCAATGGCTATGTTGCTCCCCCCCCCCCTTTTTTGTGTGTGTCCAAGTGTTAGAACACAATGCATTTAGCAGCAGAGAAGGGAATGAGATGTAGGCAGCCCCAAAGAGCTGACCCCATTACACACTTAGCAATGAATGCATTGAAGGATGGGGATTGGGGCTTTGTGCCCATGACATGCTCCCATCAGCACATTGCCCCATCCCTGATAGGGCCAACTGCTGACAGCTGCCCTGGGTCAAACAACCAGTGCCTAATAGCAAGCTGCCATTTTAATTTCCCACCATGCCTCCTAATGTAGCATTACACTTGGGCAGGGAACCCTCTTCCCTGATGGCTGCATTCTAAGGACCACATGCCAAGGGTGGGTGGGGCCAGGGGCAAAGGGGGAGGAGCAATGCATGTAAAGATTTAAAGGTAAAGGTAAAGGTACCCCTGCCCATACAGGCCAGTCGTGTCTGACTCTAGGGTTGTGCGCCCATCTCACTTAAGAGGCTGGGGGCCAGCGCTGTCCGGAGACACTTCCGGGTCATGTGGCCAGCGTGACAAAGCTGCATCTGGCGAGCCAGCGCAGCACATGGAAACGCCGTTTACCTTCCTGCCAGTAAGCGGTCCCTATTTATCTACTTGCACCCGGGGGTGCTTTCGAACTGCTAGGTTGGCAGGCGCTGGGACCGAGCAACGGGAGCGCACCCCACCGTGGGGATTCGGACCACCGACCTTTCAATCGGCAAGTCCTAGCCACTGAGGCTTTAACCCACAGCGCCACCCGCGTCACATGTAAAGGGACATGTAAAGATTTACCTTTGTACAATAGGTCAACCACCACCACAAATCTTTATTACGGTCATTGACCAGTACAATAGGTCAGTCTCTATGCTCCATCTGGGCAAGCAAAAGGGATTACCAGAGTTCAATGACACATTCCAGTCTGGCAGAAACTAACAAGGAGGAGGGCGCAAAGCAGGAAAAGTGAGGTTTATGGCTTGGTGAAAGTTCTGAAAGCCAGATAGAGAAGTCAGGATAGTCCCCAGGTTCTGAGGTTCCCCATCCTGCTCTAGTGCATTGTGGGTGCCCTGAAGTTGATGCTGATGATGGTGTAGGGTGCCTGAACAACATCTTCAAGCACACACCTGCACTGATGTGAGCTCTGTCCTTTTAGCTGGGAAGGCTGTGTTTTGCAATATTACCACTTAGCACTGAGAAACACGCACATTAACTCTATTCAGATAATAAGATGAGCCTGTGGAGTTCAGGGCAAGTCAGGGAGCATGAACATGATCCCAATGCCATCCACTGCATGCATTCACAGAACATCAGGAAGGGGTTTTAGGGACCTAGGTAGTCTTAGTGAGCTAATGCACAAAGACTGAGCTAGGAGCAAAGGGGGATCTCCCCAGGCTGAGTCATCTTTCCATTTAAGAGATGGCAATTTCCCAAATGAGTCAGTGATTTGAGCCGCTGGTTGCATTCTGAAGTGGTATAGTGCCTATAGTCATTATGCAATAAGAAATAGGTCTCAGTTAGCTTACTCCAAGTGATTGTGGGCAGGACTGTCAGTAATCACACATTAGCCCTTGGCTCACAGTCACATCAGATCAGGGCGGGCTTATACATGACTAGAATCTCCTCCATCCTTTTAAATAAATAAATAAAATTTGTTTGTTTTTAACGTTCCATAAACAAAAGCAGCATGTCTGGGATATTTTTAGCTTGCGTCTCTTCTTCCTGATAAACTAGACTCTTTGTGAAAGTATTTTCCTTCCTTCCTTCCTTCCTTCCTTCCTTCCTTCCTTCCTTCCTTCCTTCCTTCCTTTAAAATACCAGAGCATTCAATCTGTAGCTCAAGTACAGATTTACCTCTTCAGTGAGATTCAAGGTGCCAACACTGTGGCTCCTCTATGGGTGATTCTTCATCATTCCCACTGACACTCCCATTCTGGTCAAAATGTAGCCTTATGGTTGCTGGATCTTCCCAAAGGGGAAAAAAAAAAGATGAGGAGAGGGTCTCACAATTCTACACCAGCCCAATACCCATTCTGATGTTAGCTCATATTATGAGACTTTTGTCTGTTTTGAGGGGGTCGCTTCTCATTTATGTGATATTTTCTCATCTTTCTTTCTGTTGCAGAGCTTATTTAGACGTCAAAGAACTTAAGAACAGGCTCCAACTGGATGGCTCAACACATCTCAACATCTTCTTTGCTAACAGCTCTGAAGAAGAGTTGGCAGGTGTAGCTACCTGGCCGTGGGACAAGGAAGCTTTGGTACACCTGGGTAAGTCATTGGTTCACCAGAAGAGCTCCACAGTATCAGGTCAAACAACATCCTGTTCTCACAGTGGTCAGCCTGATGGCTCTGGGAAGCTCATAGGTAGACGGCAAAGGCAACAGGCCTTTCTTACTGTTATCTGTTATGCATTAGAACATTAGAAAAGTCCAGGTCAATGGCCCAGTCTCATCCAGCGTTCCATTCTCATGTTGGCCAATTATATGCCCTTAGGGGAGAGAAATGATACAGCCAGTGCAAGAGAATTAGAATTATAAAGCCTGGTAGGTTCTCTTGTAGATCTTTGGGCCCTTACCCATGAGTCTCAGGTTGGGAGTCCCAGCATTGCAGTTATCTGGTCCAAGCATTGCTATAGCTGGGATAATTAGCCAAATCATCTCCCTATGAACTTAAGCAGAGTCCTGCTAGATCAGGCCAGAGGCTCATTTAATGCAGCATCCTTTCTTTGCCCAACTAGATGCCCATGGGAAGCCCACAAGCAGCGCTTGAGCACAACAGCAATGTGTTCCCCACCTGTTATTCTCGGCAACTGAAGAGGCAGACCTTGAAAAGGGAGAATCTCCTCCCTGTGGACTGCTCCTTGTGGCAAAGAAAGGACAGGATGCTGTTAACCTTTATCCTGATTTCTTATCATTTGCAGTCATAGTCTTAAGTAAGGTAAAGGTAAAGGTACCCCTGCCCATACGGGCCAGTCATGTCCGACTCTGGGGTTGTGCGCCCATCTCGCTTAAGAGGCCGGGGGCCAGCGCTGTCCGGAGACACTTCCGGGTCACGTGGCCAGCGTGACGAAGCTGCTCTGGCTAGCCAGCACCAGCGCAGCACACGGAAACGCCGTTTACCTTCCCGCTATAAAGCGGTACCTATTTATCTACTTGCACTTTGACGTGCTTTCAAACTGCTAGGTGGGCAGGAGCTGGGACCGAATGACGGGAGCTCACCCTGCCGCGGGGATTCAAACCGCCGACCATGCGATCGGCAAGTCCTAGGCACTGAGGTTTTACCCACAGCGCCACCCGCGTGGGTCTTAAGTAGCCCACCGAATAATAATAATAATAATAATAATAATAATAATAATAATATATAAATATATAAATCAAAACAATATTCACCATTCCTTGCTTCCTGGCTTACAACCAGGAAAATATTAGATTATAAACCCCAAACACTTTACAGTATTTCTCAAATGATGTCAAGACAAAAGTATTTCACCTTTTTCAAAGAAGTTGCTTCTGAGGGCATCTTCTCCACATGTGGAATTTGCAAAGGTTTTTGAGTGAGGGAACAGTTATTTTAGTGGGGGAGATGTAACACTGTGACTTATTAACCTCACAATTGTTGCTCGCAATGCAGGCAACTGATTTCCTTGTCCCAACTGGGTGTCCCTGAAGAGCTGTATGTCAGGCTGTAAGGTGGGAGCAGCCAATCATGGACAGTCTTAGACTGCTAGGTGGAAGTTGGAACTAGGTGAGAAGGCATGTCCTTAACTAAGCTAGGGTTTGAGGATATGTGTCCATATTGGAGAAGCTAGTTGGTTCACTAAGAGCCTCAGTGGTGTCCTCAGGAGGCTTCACCCCAGGCAAAATTCCTGGCTATATGCCCTTTGTTTCACCACTGGAAACTCCTAATGGATGTCACCTGGAGTTTCATGGTGGGGGAACAGCCAGATAGGGCCAGGCTAAAGCATCCAGTTTGTGGGTGGAGAAATGGCAGGGGAGTGGTTTTAACCAATTTTCAGAGGGTTAACAATTTGGGGGTGAGGAAAACTCACCATCTCCAGAGGGCCTTTGGGCATATTCTCCTCTCTCTCTCTCCCTCCCTCCCTCCCTCCCTCCCTCCCTCCCTCCCTCCCTCTCCAAAGCCCCTGGGAATGGCATGATGAATGACATGATGGGGGCTTCTGGAGGTGGTAAGGAATGGTCTGGAATCCTCACTCACAACAGCTGGCTTACAATATTTAGACCCATCAAGTGATATAGCATCCATGCTTAATGTTGAAAAATCCCTTTACAGGTGGTATCACAGGGTCACTGCTGATGACTATAGGCAGCTAAGGAAAGACTGCAAAAATGACTGTATTAAGGGGGATAGAGATAAGTCCTTCTGAATTATTTATAGCCTGCTTTTATATAATTCCCAACCCTGTATGGTAATCAGCTTCATGGCTGAGTGGGCATTAGAACCCTGCTCTCCCAAGTTCTGGTCCAGAACTCTAAGCACTACACCATACTACCTCCAGTGGTGGTGGAGGGAAAGGCTAAGTAAGCTTCAGCGCATGCTGATTAACTTAGAAAAAGCATATTGGGTCAGTGATCAGGGATGATGGGACAAACATAGGAATCCGCCTTATGCAAAGGCAAACCATTGGTCCACCTAGCTCAGTGCTGCCTACACTGACTGGCAGTGGCTCAAGCCGCAGCTTCTCTCAGTCCTGAGGGATGGGTCATTGTTCAGTGGTGGAGCATCTGCTTTGCCTGCAGAAGGTCCCACGTTCAATCACCAGCAGCTTCAGATAGGGCAGAGAGAGACACCCTGGATAGCCACTGCTAGTCAGCATAGACAATGCTAAGCTAGATGTACCAGTAGTCTGACTTAGGAACATAGGATGCTACCAGCACCTTACACTAGCTCATCAGCCTCAGCACAACTCCTTTCATGCTATGTATTATTATGCCTCCTACATTTTCAGTAATGCACTATAGCACTAAACCAGGAATGAAAGAAACTCTCATTTTTGCCTGGGTGTGAAAGAGAAGCTGGCCCCCACCTGGGCAAACTTCAGAGGCAGAGCACCAGTCACAGAGGCATAGCATAGGGGTACATGGGGGCTGTGGCCCTGGGTGCAATTTTGTGAGGGGATACAAACAGGTGCCTTCATTGGAGCCTGGCTCTGTGCAAGAAGGAGCTGTGCCTTCTTGTTCATGCCTGACCTAGGGGAGGAGAGCAGGAGAGTGGGCAGCAACAATGCTGCCCACTATCTTCAGTTGCAGGGTGCCTTGCGCATGGCTGCAGCTGCTCTGCTGCCAGGTCAGGCCTGCCCTGCCCACGGAGGGCAGGAGGAGAGTGGGTGGCAGCTTCCCTGCCCCTCTCCTCCCTTGGACTGTGGTGCATGGGATGGTATCCTCCATGCCTCCCTTGGGGGAGCCCCACAAGCCCACCCCTGGCAGCAAGGGCATACGCTCTGCTGCTGACTTGTCACTTCCAGGGATCCTTCCAACACCTGCATTTTCTCGCTTTCCCAAATCCTTCTGGGGCAGTGCAAGATGTAGCATCTCTCTGACAGCTGCTTCTGTCAGTTGGGATGTATTGGAAGGCAGAGAGGATGTGGGCCACCAGAAGGAACTCTGCAAACAGGTGGTGTGATTCCCCCCCCGCCTGCCCCATCACATCCTTGAATCTTACCTCTCTGAAAATCAGCCATAAATATGCCCCCAATTAATCACCTGCAAGTGTGGAGGAGGGCTTTTTGTTTTGGCCTTTGCTCTTTCAGAGGCATTGCCTTCAGGAGTAGGTGTCAAGTTTGTAGAACTAAAAAGGAGGGATGTAGGTCAATGTCAGAGTACCTGCTTTGCATGCAGAAGGTTCTAGATCCAATATCTAGCGTCTCCAGGTAGGGCTAGGAGAGCCACATCTAGAACCCTGGAAAGCCACTGTCAGTCTGTGCAGACAATCCTGAGCTAGAGGGACCAATGGTTCTGGTTCAGTGTAAGGCAGTCTCTTCTCTTCTTAATGGCCATAGCTCAGTGATAAGGGAACATCAGATATCGGGAGATGAAGAAGACTTCACCCTGAGATTTCGGGGGACCATGGGCTCATCCACACTTAGCTTTGCTCCACATTTCTATGCACAGGTCTAGGATTTCCAGGTCCGTGCCCAAGTGCTTGTTTTTTGTTGTTGTTTTGCCCTGGACACTTTCCCTATAAAAAACCTGCTGTTTACTGCTGAATCAGAACAAATGGCAATTTCAGCGTTAAAGAGCAAGGGGGAAGTGATGGGCCAAAAAAAAGAAAAAGCATTGGGACGTGGACTGGGAAAGCAAGGGCCCATGCCTAGAAAGTATGGGGCAAAAGGTAAGCGTGGATGATCCCAATACTGGCCTGGGTGGACCAGTGATCTGCGTCAGTAGAAGCTGCTTCACATGGAAAGAGACAAAGTCAGAGACAGGAGTATGAGGAGGGTGCTGGGGACCCACTCCCCCAGCAGAGTACATAATGTTGAGTGGTCAGATTCAGTGTAAGATGCTTCATTTGTACCAACAGGGAGTGAGGGGAGAGAGGGAGAGGGCTTGACAAATGAATGGAAGACTTTGGGGAGCCATTGTCCCAACGGCATAGACAATACTGCATTAGTTGGACCTGTGGTCTGACTCAGTATATAACACTTTATTTCGGAGAAGAGAAAGAGGTGAGTTTGAGAGATGCTTGGGAGAGTCAAAAGAATGTCATGAAAGGAGATGTGGAAGACCTCTTCCTTAGACTCTAAGGAATCACTGTCCCAGCAAAATAGACAATTCTGAGCCAGCTGGTCTAGCTGGACCAGTGGGCTGACTTGGTATAAGGTGCTTTGTATGTAGAAGCACAAACACAGAGAGAGAGATGAGCTTGAACGGGAGAGCTGAAGGGCTGGCATGCAGCTTGGGAACAGAAGCAGGCTTTTTTAATTCAGATAACTAGATTTTTTGGCTAATTGGTGTTGTACTCTCCTGTAGCACCTCCTGCTGGACCAGTCATAGGTATTTTCCACTGTCTCTTCTCTTGATTTCAACTAATCTCTTAATGGTCCAAAGCAGCATCTTTTAGTACCTTGGATTCAGTTTCTTTGGGGTTTTTTTCTATATAAAAATGAGTGCAAGAGTAATCATCACAATAAAATATAATCAGTGGACAGTCTGAAGTTGACTCATCCGCCCCCCCAAATAAGGCAAAAGGAGAAAAAATTAATTTCCTGTTTTAAAAGCCCTCACTGCCCACCTTTTCTCCTTCAGCAAGAACTTTGCTGCTTAATCTTTCTATACTCTTTTTCTTTCTATAAATCCAATATGTATTTAATAAGAAAAAATAAGATGAAATATGCACCACTGTCCGGATCTTAGCTTTGGAATATAGATCATCTGGTCGAGGGAAACTATCTTTTTGGTGGGGAGATTGCAATTGATTTAGACTCTTGACAGCTGTGAAAAATATACATAACCTCCACCAAAAGAAGGGGGGGTCTAAAAAAGGAATAAATAAGAAAATCAAGCAACCTGCACAGTTGCCTTAAGCCCTGATGAAATTGAGCCAGCCTGTATTGTGATTTTTATCTCCTCACTTAGGGAGTGTTTTTCCAATATATCTAGTGATGGGGTGGGGAGGAATGGTAGGGAGATAAGCTTTGAGATGGGTTTGCAGCAAAATAATCAACATGGATTCTCTCTTGCTGCTATTCATTCACACACACTGTCTAGTGGCAGCACCAAAGGAACAGCACATTGGGCACCTGCCGAGGCTCACACCTCAGCAAGGACCTCACTGTTGACCACTAGAGTCCCTTGACTGTCCTACTCCTCCTCGCAGTTGTCAACTGTTCACTTTCCCTATCCAAAGGTGTAATGGAATCATAGCATTCTGGACTAGATGAGCTATTGGACAGATTGAGCTGGCTCCTCTTACATTCTGATATTCTTACGGTTGGAAAAATGAGAAGCTTATATTGACAGATCCACCAATCCTTTATCTGAGAAGTCTGTATTTTCTAGTACCTGGAAAAACACTGTCTCTGTTGTTTTAATGCATACTTATAATAGAATCATAGAATTGTGGAGTTGGAAGGGACCCCAAGGGTCATCTAGTCCCACCCTGTGCAATGCAGGAATACCAACTAAACCATCCATGACAGGTGGCCATCCAATCTCTTCTTAAAAACCTCAGAGAGAGGAGAGTCCACACCTCCCAAGGGAGACTGTTTTACTTTTGAAGAACTCTTACTGTCAGAAATTTCTTCCTAATGTTTAGTCGGAATCTGCTTTCTTGTAATTTGCAGCCATTGGTTTGAATCCTACCCTCCAGAGCGGGGAAAAAGACCACGCTTGCTCCATCTTCCATGGGACAGCCCTTGAGATGGCTATCATATCTCCTCTCAGTCTCCTCTTTTCCAGGCTAAACATACCCAGCTCCTTTAACAGTTTCTCATTAGGCTTAGTTTCCAGTCCCATGACCATCTTGCTTGCCCTCCTCTGCACACATTCCAGCTTGTCAACATCCTTCTTAAATTGTGGTGTCTGGAACTGGACACAGTATTCCAGGTGTAGTCTGACCAAGGCAGAATAGAGTTGTACTATTGCTTCCCTTGATCTGCACACTATACAGTGCACACTCGGGTTGCGAACTTGATCCGTGCGGGATGCACGTTCGCAACCTGCAGTGATTGCAACCCGCGTCTGCACACGTGCGGGTTGCGATTCGGCGCTTCTGTAATGAGAAGCTGCAATGAGCTAAGTTTGACTCCTGCTGGTTGCTAACTTATTATTGATTAAAGCATTCCTTCCCCCCCCCCCCAGCCCAGCTTTTCACCTAATGGCTTATGCAATTTTTCCAACGGTAAACCTCCCACAAAGTCCCTATTTGCCCCATGCAGGGACATTTACAGGTTGCTCATATGACGCCTGCAGGGTTTTTCCCAATAGCAGCTTTGGGAGGGTGGGGCAGTAAAGTGGATTGAGAAAATGGTGCTGGAGATAGGGTTTAAAAAGGCCCACCCCAATGACCACCTTTTCTTGAATTGAATTCTCTTGCAGCTGTTGCCATTATTATTTTTACAAACCAAATAAGGGAGTGATCATGGCTCTTCTGAGTCTCATCTAGCACAGTTGTAACACTAAAATTAATGGGCATGCTAGGGCTTTTCCCCCCAGATGGAACTCACCAGAACTCAGTTCCGGTATCTTTCAGGTGGGTGCCATTGCCATCTAAGAGAATAAAGGAGGCATTCATAGTGAGTTCCAGCACCTCTTTTTCTAGAAAAATAGCACTGGGGATGACTTATCCTAAGATAAATCTGCCTTGTTTTGCTTGCCCACAGAAGAACATAATAAGAGCCCTGTTAGATCACACCAAATGTCAGTGTAGTCTAGGAATTTTTCTCCCAACAGTGACCAACCAGATGCATCTGGGAAGTCCACAGGGAGAGTGTGAAGCTCATAGCCCTCCCCTGTTGTTTATGCCCCAGCAACTAGCATTCAGTGAAAATATACTTTCTCTGAACACCATGCCTATGTTCTCTCTCCACTGATGGAAGCGGTATGCTCTGCATACCAGTTGATGGTAATCACAAATGGGGAGAGAATGTTTCATTCAAGTCCTGTTTGTGGGCTTTTCACTGAGGCATCTGTGTGGCCACTGTGAGAACAAGATGCTGGACTAGATGGACCTTTGTTCTGATCCAGCCAGGCTCCTCTTATGTTTATACAGAGGTACCTCGGGTTAAGAACTTAATTTGTTCCGGAGCTCCGTTCTTAACCTGAAACTGTTCTTAACCTGAGGTATCACTTTAGCTAATGGAGCCTCCTGCTGCCGCCGCGCTGCCGCCGCACAATTTCTGTTCTCATCCTGAAGCAAAGTTCTTCACCCGAGGTACTATTTCTGGGTTAGAGGAGTCTGTAACCTGAAGCGTCTGTAACCCGAGGTACCACTGTATAATCATATTGACTAATAACCTTTGAGAGACTTACCTTCTCCATGAATTTGCCCAACCCCCTTTGAAAGCCATTTATTGGTGGTCCTTCACTGAGTTCTGTTCCTGCTCTCCTGCTATCACAGAATTATAGAGCTGGAATCATAGTGTATGAATCATAGTGCGTAAATAATGAATCATAGCATATGAATCATAGCGCTTGAATGATTCCATCACAGGGAATCATAGGGGTGGAAGGGACTTCAAAGGTCATAGTTGGCCATGCAACCTCTGCTTATAAACCTTCCATGTAGGAAATTGCGTCACCTTTCAAGTCCGTCTGCCCTACTGTTGAACAGCTTGTACCATCAAGAAGTTCTTCCTAATGCTTAGTCATAATCCCGCTTTTTATAATTTGTGGGTCCATTATTTCAGTTCCTGGTCTCTTGCACAACAGAAATGAAATTTGCTCCACTATTATTCTGACAGCCCTTCAAATATTTGAGCATGATTATCATAGCCACATCTTAATCACCTCCAGGCTAAACATACCCAACTCCATAAACCTTTCCTCATTGGTGTTCTGGGCCATGAGGGCAAAAAGTAGCACTGCCTCACCAACCCCAGTAAGGCCCCAGCTGCCTGTCTTTTTGCATACAGCCATTCAGGCTCTGTCTGTCATTGGCTGTGGCTCCACCTCCCATTGTCTTCCCCACCTTCCACTCTACCAGCCCCAATGGGAAACAGCCATCACATGATGTTTCTGCATATATGAGTATAAAAACAACTATCTCTCTTTCTTTACAGGCGGAATTGTGCTGAATCCGTCCTTCTATGGCATAGCGGGACACACCCATACAATGATCCATGAAATAGGGCACAGTCTGGGGCTCTACCACGTCTTCCGAGGAATCTCCGAGATCCTCTCCTGCAATGATCCATGCATGGAAACAGAACCTTCCTTTGAGACCGGTGACCTCTGCCATGACACAAATCCAGCTCCAAAACACAAGACCTGTGGTGATCCAGCCCCTGGGAATGACATGTGTGGTTTCCGTAGCTTCCAGGACACTCCATTTAACAATTTTATGAGCTACACAGGTACTCTGCCCTCCCTTCCTAGCTTTCTACTAGAGTTGGCCTTTTTCAAAATGTTGATAGCAAGCTTTAGAGTTTCTTATTCAGGCTTCAGTTTTTTGCAGCAAAGGTGAAACTTACGTGTTCAGGTTGATGCCAGTCAGTTAAGCACTTTCTAGAACATGTGAGACAGAGAACCAGTGCAATTATGTTTCATTTGATCAGCTGGGCTTCAAAAATGTTGATAGCACATGTGTTCTAAACGTACTTACTAGGAAATAATCTCCACTGAAAACATTGAGACTTAATTCTGACTTAGGCAAGTATAGGATAGAGATGAGGAGAAACTTGAAAAAGTTTGCATTTAGAGGTGAACCTAACTAATTCACACTTTCCAAAACAATGCAGTATGTGGGGGTAGTCAGAGGTTTGTATCCTGCAACTGCAGCAGTGGGCCTTGGCCTTGGACTGTGGAGATGGAAGAGAGGAAGGGGGCTGCTGGGGAGCACATGGTTGCTGCTGAATGGAGAATAGATTAACTGGAGAGGAAGGCCTCCAGAGATACTGTGGAGCGGGAGCATGTGGGGGGACGGACCTGGGATGAGGCCTGTCCTGCTCCTTTTGATCCTTGCCACTTTTACCCAGGGCAGCTATAAGAAAATGTTCTCTAAGCAAAGTCAGCCTTCCCACAGAACAAGATGCAAGTGAGTTCCTTTATTTGTCCCAGTGACCAAGACAGTGATGACCAAACAGGACCGCACAGGCTACTATCTGTTTGGAAAGATTATATTGAATACTCACAGGGTATTTAATCATTGGTCCAAGCCAATTTTAAGGGGAATAAAAGCTGTATCCATCAAAAACTGTTCATCAGCTGAAGATTCAGGGCCAAATAGTTTGACTCAAAGAAAATGGGTAAGCAGTTTTTTTAAAAAAATTAACGTGTTTGCAGGAGGTTATTATTTTGTTGTTTCTGTTTTAGCTACTTATCTGTGCTTTGGTCTTACATTTTTATCTTGTGAACTGCTTGAAATCTTTTGGTGAAGTACAGTAAAAAATAAAATGCACAACCCGAAAAGCAGCCTTCCTTCAAAATTCACCCTTCTCATTTTGCAATGCAGTTCTCCAGCCAAGTCAAAATGCATGTACTAAAGTGTGTTTAAAAATACATATATTGGTGATAATAACATACACATATGCATTAAACTGGGGAAAATGGCATATAAAATGTGATTATTAGGAGAAATGTACACTAAGATGTTGATGCATTTTCATTAGGTTTTTTTAATTTTTAAAAAATCAGGACACTAATATGATTAACAATGAGAACTGAATTTAAGATTGGAAAAGTGAGCATCTGAAGGAAATTAAAATTTGCCATTCCCCACCTAGTATAGGGTCATGCCAACCTCTCTTGCCCGGGTTTCTGACTTTGCAGCAGTAGCACTAATGTCTACATGTTCTGGTTTATGCCTGCCCATCTGAATTCAGCACCTTTTAGAACAAAAGAAGAATGAATAAAGCAAGGGCTTTCTAATTCGTCGAGCAAAGGGATGTGTGGATGAATGATCATAAGTGTCTTCTTCATCCAGAAGCTTGTCCACTTCCCTCGCCCCACTTTTCTACCTATCCAAACTACATTCCTTTAGGTAAACTCAGCTGAGAGAAATGCATGAAGTGTGCAAGGCTACAAGAAGTCATGTGGCAATTACAAGGAGGGCTTTCCTCCCATCATCCCAATACTTTTGATTGGACCCTCCCATCTCATATTGTGTGATTGGCAGCAGATGTGTTTAAATTAGGGTTAGGGCTCTCATTGCCTTCAAGATGTTGCTGGACTACAACCTCCTGGCATCCCTGACCATTGGCCATACTAGCTTGGTGCTGATGGGAGTTGGTGTTGTACAATATCTGGAGGACCACAGATTGTCTATCCTGCATTTAAATGAAGGGCTTTGCGAGCAGTGCCTCTAATTTGCTCTGAAATTTCCCTTCCAGATCACTAGGTGGTAAAGAGAAAGGATAAATAAGTCTTGTGGTCCAGTATTTAATTTTTATTTCTCTTATTTTTCCTTTCTTCAGTTGAGGCTGCTACTGGTCAGCTCTTTGTCGTAGAATGCCAGGGAAGCGTGCAATGTTACCCAGGAGAGCTTATAGAGCAGCCATGTTCACAGTTTAACTCTTTTTTATTTAACTCTTCCCCCCTCCCATCCCCTCTCTCCTCTCTTTCACATGTGCAACATTGTGTGACTTGTTTCCACCCTGCCTTATCCCCTCAGACGATGACTGCACCAACTCCTTCACACCCAACCAGGTGGCAAGGATGCACTGCTACCTGGACCTCGTGTATCAGAGCTGGCAACCTGTCAAGAAGCCTGCCCCCATCGCTATCACACCACAGATCGTGGACCGAATGGGGACCTTCATCACCCTGGAGTGGTTTCCACCCATAGACAGGCACTTCTTTGAAAGGTGAATTGGTGGGGACAATGCACACCTGTTTGTCTGACTTTGAAAGATGGGTAAATGGCAGTGGAGAAGCAATTAGTTGTTCAGGTTAAGGTTATAGTTGGGGGGCTCATATAACTGGGCTAAAATCCCCAGTTCTCTTTCTTTTCTCCCTGAGAAAAGAAGACACTGTCTTTTTTGCTAGTTTCTGGGATCGGGGGTGGGGAGAGGTTTATCTGGCCCACTGGTCTAAGTAGGTCCAGGAAGCATTTTAATTTGGCTGTTTCTTCCCTGAAAGTCATGCCCTCCTGCCCTTTGCTTGACAATATATATGATGTCAGGCGTGGGGCAAGTAAATACATAATTCCATTCCAAATGCAAAGTCTACATATGATTACCTCACATGGTGTAGCAGTTAGAGTGTTGGACTAGGACCTGGGAGACCAGGGTTCAGATCCTCACTTGGCCATGAAGCTCACTGGGTAACCTTGGGCTACTCAATGTCTCTCTCTCTGCCTAATCTACCACACAGAGCTATTGTGGGATTAAAATGAGAAAGGGGAGAACCATGTGTGCCACTTTGGTTTCCTCAGAGAAAAAAAGTGGACCATTAAATAAATAAAATAAAATAAAATAGCTTCTAGACTAGAGAGCCAGCATGGTGTAGTGGTTCAGAGCGGTGGACTCGTAATCTGGTGAACCGGGTTCGCTTCCCCGCTCCTCCACATGCAGCTGCTGGGTGACCTTGGGCCAGTCACACTTCTTTGAAGTCTCTCAGACCCACTCACCTCACAGAGTGTTTGTTGTGGGGGAGGAAGGGAAAGGAGAATGTTAGCCGCTTTGAGACTCCTTAAAGGGAGTGAAAGGCGGGATATCAAATCCAAACTCTTCTTCTTCTTCTTCTTCTTCTTCTTCTTCTTCTTCTTCTTCTTCTTCTTCTAGCAGGGCCTACCTCAGAACCTGCTGCAACTTAGCTGTGGGGAGAGCCTGTTTGGCCCCAGCTTCAAGCTGCTGCCTCTCTTTTTTCTTTCTCCCTTATAAGAGGCAGTGATTGCCACCAACTCTGATGGCTTTAAAAGAGAATTACACAAATTCATGGAGGACAAGGCTATCAAATGGCTATTAGCCACGATGGCTATGTTCTACCTCCTCTGACAGAGGCATGGTGACTGAATATCAGTTGCTGGAAACAGCAGGAGGAGAGAAGGCTCTTGTGCTTGAATCTTGCTTGTGGGTTTCCCACAGGCATCTGGTTGGCCACTGCGAGAACAAATGCTGGACTAGATGGACCATTGGCCTTAAGCCATCAGGCTTGTCTTAATTACTCTGCTTCCTTCACTTGATCCCCTGCCTTGTGGCAGCAGGGAAGGAAACAGAGGTGACGGCACACGCTTCCAGATTCCCAGCAGGGGTGTGATTCTATTTTTGTCCATTTCTGCTGGGATGGTGGCCCTGCCAGCAGGGGTCATGGAGGGAAGCCATAGAGATAGGCTCTTGGTCCTTTGGTGAGTGCTTAAGCTGGGCACTCAGATAAGCACAATCCTATTTCAGTCAACCTTCAGGATGCTTCTCTATCCCTACCATGCTATCACAGGGATTACCAACTTTTGTTGCAGGGGAAGGAGGGTGTCAGTGGACACATTTGGAATTTTGAGAAAGTGTAAAAAGAAAAAGAAAAAGAGCAGACAAAGAGGAACAGAATGGTAAGGGCATGCCACTCCCCAATCAGCTGCCCCATCAATGGGCTAAGACACATTTGTGTCAGTCACTGTCACCCTTCGCTTAGAGGTGTCCAGTCCTGGCATCCAATAAAATGTGGACATCTCTAAGTGGTGGTGAGGGGATTTGATGCAGGAGAAGCTGATATGGATTCTTAAGTGACCTTTTTGGAGACCTTTTGTGGGAGGCGTAGACAGTACTGGGGCACACACACTAGCACCCCTAGATGCCATTGGTAACCCCTCCTGTATGGGCTATGCAGTATTCATGATTGAACTGCATAGTCCCAAGGAAATGCTTGGAATCATTCATATGAGAAAAAGACCTTGGGTTGTGCCCAGTGCTAGAGTAGATTCATTGAAATTGATTTATATGACTAAGCTAGGCACATTAATTTCAGTTGGTTTCCTCTGAGTGGATCTTAGCTTAATACAATCCTTTATGTCTGAAGTGGCCTTTGGTTTTCCCTGCCTTCACTACTACTCCCCTCTGCCACCATCTTTTCTCTCTCTTTCTAAAAGGGTAAATTAAGTTCTTGCAATATGTATTTAATTTATATTTCATAAAGCAGTTATTGTATGTTAAATAAATTCCATCTGCCTATTAAAAACATACTGATACAAGGTTAATTGTTATGTAACAAAATACGTCTCTCTGACATACGTCTTCAACCTCAATCAGTATGTTTTTAATAACCCCTGGCTAGTTCGTACTTAAGTAACACACAATGGCTGGCCTGTTCGATCTAGGATTTCATAACACAGTGATCATACCCTAAGTCAACACTAGATTTCTTTGACAAACCCTTCCATTGGGGTTTCAGTAGTATGGAATTGGCATAACTTGTGGATATCTAAGAAGACATTGTCCAGTAGTTATGTCATCATTTTCTCAGTTTCTCAAGCCTAGGATAAATAAATCTTACCGAGATTTTTTAAATTTTATTTTAAAGGCAGAACAGGGAAATTCCTCAGACTCTTGTTCTGAATTAATAATTGATGCCTTGGTCAGTTCCTGTTGCTTTATCGCTGATCTAAGACAGTGGAATGGTCTCTCTATGTAGCCCTCCAAACTCTCCTCAGGCCCTGCCTCACACCAACCCTACTTCATTCCCTCCTTGGGTGTTCTTTTGCTTAGCTCAGAACTCTGGTCCTGCCTCTTGCTTGCCCCAATGGAGGACATCCCATTGCAATATTTTTATTTGCATGCTGCCTTTCCATGAAAAGAATCATGTTCAAAACAGCTACGGCAAAGAATCCAGGAATAGATCACAACGCTAACACCATTGCAATAACAATTTAATAACAAGTAAATAGTTTAACAGGGACAGGGGTGGCACTGTGGGTTAAACCACAGAGCCTAGGACTTGCCGATCAGAAGGTCGGCGGTTCGAATCCCTGCGACGGGGTGAGCTCCCATTGCTTGGTCCCTGCTCCTGCAAACCTAGCAGTTTGAAAGTACACCAGTACAAGTAGATAAATAGGTACTGCTCCGGTGGGAAGGTAAACGGCATTTCTGTGTGCTGCTCTGGTTCGCCAGAAGCGGCTTAGTCATGCTGGCTCCCTCAGCCAATAAAGCGAAATGAGCACTGCAACCCCAGAGTCGGTCACGACTGGACCTAATGGTCAGGGGTCCCTTTACCTTTACCCTAAATGGTTTAACACAATTAAAAAGGTGGAAATGTAAAAACATTAATAACAATATTTACAATATAACAATAAAACCAACATTTCTGTATGAGAAATATAACAAGATTGCACTGGCGAGAGCAGAAATAACGAGGGACGCACTGGTCCTAGAAACATGATGTTGCTCACGGTCCCTCTCCTCCAGTAACTTGCAAGGTTTCCAAAGTCAGGGGGTGGTGTAGCAGGGAACTTCCCTCACATGATGCTGCTCAGAAAAGTACGTGTAAGTGTGTGTAGAAAGTAGTCTGCTGTACAGAGGTAGAATTACATTCATTGTTGCACGTGCTTTCATCTGGCCCCATCTACCACTGGCGTGTGGTCCTTGGAAAGTTGCCCAGAAGGGAATTCTCAGAATTCAGGGACACATTCCAGCCAGGTAAGACTACTTGGGGTACAAAGCAGGGCCAGCAAGATGTGTTACCTGGAGAGAGTTCTGAGGTCTAGATATAGAGGCCTGGAGGGCCACATTTGTCCCCCCCCCAGGTCTGATGCTCTAAAGCAGGGGTCAGCAAACTTTTTCAGGCGGGGGGGCCGGTCCACTGTCCCTCAGACCTTCTGGGGGGCTGGACCCAATGCCTCCCGAAAGCACCCCACCACCCGAAAGGCCCCCCCCACCTATGCCACTCATGCCACAGCCGCCAACGCTGCCTCGTCTTCGACAGCATTGGCGTCCTCTGTCTCGGCAGGGCACAGAGCCCCTGCTGCTGGCCTGGGCAACAGAGGCAGCCTCTGTGCCGCTTCTGCTTCCTTCCTACTCGGCCGCTTCCTCCCGCTTGGCCACATTAGCGGGAAGGAAGGGGCAGTACCCAGAGGCATCTGTGGCTTTTGATTGGCTGCAGGAGCTTCCTGCAGCCAATCAAAATCCATGCCGCGTCACAGAAGTCAGTCTCCATGTGGCAAGGTCTCTGTGCCGCACCTGTATAGCTCAGAGACTGACTGAGTGGGTGGCATGGTCCACAAAGTTCATGGGCTGGATTAACAAGCCCGGTGAGCCGTATCTGGCCCGCAGGCCTTAATTTGATGACCTCTGCTCTAAAGCCCTGAATCTCTGTGGCGCAATGGGTCAGTGCATCTGGCTGTTAGCCAGAAGGTTGATGTTTTGAGCCCACTCAGGGACAGCTGTGGGCAGGATCCCTGCATCGCAGGGGGTTGGACTAGCTGATCCTCAGGGTCTCTTCTAACTCTACAGTTCTATTATTATAATGAACTGAGCTGGTAGCAGGAGGTGAGACACTGCACAGATGCTCTCAGAAAGCAGGTGTTGTATGCTAGAGTCTGAAAATGAATGTGAACTTGGGCTGCCAAGTAAGCACAAGTAAATACTGGAGCAGACTTGATAATGGCTATATGTAATAGATTATCAAGTTGAGCATGCAGAGACACCCATGGAGGCCTTGAAGTTTATGCATTTCCCCACATGCTGCACGGGCAGCCGTTTGGGGCAGGTGCCCAGGGCCCCATTCTCCAGAATGAACAGGAGGGTCCTCAGCACAGCCAGATGGGCTTACTAAAATTTGATGTGTCATGTAAATGGGGTGGAAGTGGGGGGTTGGGAGTTTAGGTCCATTAAGTACAGAATAAAAAATGACCTGATGGTGCTGCTGTTCACATCACACTCACCACTTGTCATAATGAAGCATTTTCTTGGATTCAAATAAATATGAAAAAGGAGCAGAAACAGAAGACTCCCCCCCCCAACCCATTCGTTTCCTGACTGCATCAAAGCAGTTTTTAATCTCGTTATCCCCAGCCATTGCAATTACTCAATATGCACCGGACTGACGCAGGCAGATATTTTTGACGGGCGTGACTGCGGAGTCCCATTTGAGCAAGAGAGACGCTCTCCATCACCCAGGTGGCTGTCATTTCCGCAGTTCCAGCGATCGCTATCTCTTTAATTCTTCCACAATGGCAGTGATTTGTGCGGTACAAACTTCTTGATCTAAGGAGGCGATTGGGAAGCCCTCTTGGACGTTGGCTTGCTGGCTTTTAATTTCCCTTGCAAATGCCTGCGTCTCTAGCGCATAAGGAAGGGACCCAGAGCTTCCAAAGTAGTGAAATATACCCCATTCCTCTCATTTTCGAAGTTGCACTTCAAGTCTCCATGCTTTGAATGGAAAGGCAATTCCTTTAATGAGCATGAGGTTTCCTTTCCAAATGTGTGTTTGGAGGCAAATTGCTTGATGAAACCAAAACTTGTTTTGCAGTTCTTTAAGAGCATGTCCAGAAAGGTATGACTGATGCTTTCTAGTGGAGGGAACCTAACTTACCTGGGATTGGTATCAGATAGGCCCCAATTTAGTAATATTTTTTTAGAAAGCTAACGAGCACCAAAGGTGCAGGCATAGGGTTAAAAGAAGCTTGCAAACCTTGGTTTACAGGGCAGTCCTGGTTAGGGCCCACCCCAAGGTACACATGACCATAATACTAGGGGTGTGTAACTAGAAGCTCTCTAGTTGTTGCTGGACTACAGCTCCCATCATCTCTCAGCACTGGCTGTGCTGGGGGAAGTTGGATTCCAAGCACAGAGAAATTTATATGGAAGGGCAAATTGCATCTTTTCTGCCTCTTTCTCTGGTGTGCCATATCAAGAGGCGAGGTGGGAGGATTAAGCGATCTTCAACTTGTTATCTTGTCCCATTTTATTCCATTGAATTCAACTGTTACTAAGTTGGTGCGTTTTCTTTCTTTTTTTATTTCCTGGCCTCCTAGAGAAGTGGGATCAGCCTGTGATCTCTGCGTGGAAGGCAGGACCCTTGTGCAGTATGCATTCAGAGCCTCATCACCGATGCCATGTGACCCATCTGGACACTGGAGTCCCCGTGAAGCAGAAGGTGACCTCACTCTGGGGGAAGGGAAATGGACAAGAAGCAAAGTGGAGGGTGGTTGTGACAACAGTGGAGGAGGAAGGAAGAGAAGACCAAGCAAGAGAACAAGAAAAATGAAAAAATAATATAGTTCGAATGATAGCAGAGAAGTTCATAATTAGCAGGTTTGGGGCACAAATTTGCCTTGCTTATACGGTAGTTCTTGACTGTCTCGTGAGACAAGGACCATTGCTGCCCAGACACGAAGCGGTGGTGATGTTTACTTTGTTTTGTTTGAGCCAAGATTAGTGTCCAGGACTCTCAGCGAGATTCTTAAATCAATTTAATATAGTGCAACCTACATTATGAATGTAAAGTTGTCAGGGAAGGAAGGTTACCCCCCCACACACACACACACACATGCACAGATGTAAATAAGCATAACTGACAAGTCATTTCTATGTCCAAACTGAAATACAGGGTTGTGTGTGTGTACTGCCCATTGCTAAATAATATTCAAGGTATGTCAAAATTTCATCTCACACTTTTACCGGTCAGCGGTTCGAATCCCTGCGAAGGGGTGAGCTCCCGTTGCTCGGTCCCAGCTCCTGCCAACCTAGCAGTTCAAAGGCAGGTCAAAGTGCAAGTAGATAAATAGGTACCACTCCAGTGGGAAGGTAAACGGCGTTTCCGTGCGCTGGTCTGGTTTCGCCAGAAGCGGCTTAGTCATGCTGGCCACATGACCTGGAAGAACTGTCTGCGGACAAACGCCAGCTCCCTCGACCTGTAAAGCGAGATGAGCGCCGCAACTCCAGAGTCGTTCGCAACTGGACTTAATTGTCAGGGGTCCCTTTACCTTTACCTTTATGTCTCCTATTAAAGTGTATGGGGAGAGGATTTTGGCCCATCTGTAATATAATTAGCACCCCCACCATTGTTTGATTTCAACAGCTGCTGCTTTCAGAAAGTCAGGAAAGTTTTGTGACTGCCGTATTTTAGAGGTCTCCCACTTGTTGCTTACTTTACTAAACTGTTGAAGGTTCCCCTGCTTTTAACTGGGGTTTTTTAAGCTTCACGCACATATTTAGCAAGTTTCTCCAATACCTCCCAGCCTAGTAGTACTCTCTATTGTAGAGTTGGAAGGGACATCAAAAGTAATTTAGTCCAAACCCCTGCAGTGCAGGAATTATTGGTTAGATTTGGTTTAGAAGGTGGGGGGGGGATACTAGATATGGTAAAATAAAACAATTCTCTGTATGTCTGGATACAGGTTTGGAGCAAGTATTCTTTGGTGAGAGAGCCCCAGTAGAGATTTAAAAAAACAAAATATGCAGCAAAGTAAAACATGGGATTCTAGGCTATTAGACCTTTAAAATATCCCCTTCTAAGTCGTTTCCAAAGCTCCCCACTTCCCTTAGCATAGAAAGAAACCACATGTTTGGTAAGTTAAAAAAGGTTTACAAACTCTTCAAAGGTCAGGTTCATGTACTTTTCCATATGGCAGCAAGAAAAGACAGATAATATACCTTAAGTATAAGGATAGGAGTTTATAAATTATTTGTATAGAAACACAAAGATGGCTTGCATAAGCCACATGGTCTAAGCTTGGAGCATCCAGTGAACCCAATGAAGCTTTCACTTCTTGGAAGAAGAAAATTAATATCTTACCGAAAATGATCTTTTCGTTCCAAGCTCTACCAGTGATTAAAGGCACCAGCTATTTTAAACAATGGGAAAATTACATTACTAATTTCATATGGCGGGGGGATGAGAGAGAGAGAACGGGACGACAGGATTAAATATAAAATATTAATTGATGCAAAGAACAGGGGGATTTGGGCTCCTAGACCTGAAAATGTACCACGTCTTTGTTGGATGAAAGATTGGGTGGAGCTGAAAAACATAAGCATCCTGGATCTAGAAGGATTTGATCTGAAGTACGGATGGCAAGCCTACCTATATTACGACAAAGCCAAGGCCCACAAGGGATTTCATGTGATCAGAAAAAGCTTCTACAGTGTCTGGGGGGAAACAAAGAGAACATTGGTGGATATCTCCCATTGAGCAGTGGCAATAAAAAACCAAACATGAACAAGATCTGGGGCACATATAAGGACCTCCTTGAGCAGAGGGAGGGCAGTTTAGGATTAAAGAGAAGAGAAGAGGTACAAAATTGGGTCTCAGACTGGTTCCAATACTTTCAACTAAATGAGGTCTTTAGGAAGGGCAAAGAAAATGGCTTTCTGGAAGGGAGTTCAGAATTTAAGAAAGGAATATTGGAAAGCAATCCAAAATTAATATCTAAACTATAAAATCTTTCTGGAATAGGAAACAAAAGACAAAATGGTTAAGGCTGCAATGATGCATTGGACCATAGATATGGACCACAATATCAAGATCTCAGCCTGGGGAAAATTCTGGGATAAAACAATGAACTTTTCAGCTTGCAACTTGATAAAAGAAAATATTGTAAAAAATGGCCTAAAGGTGGTACATGAAACCGTCCAAATTGGTTTAAATGTATGAAAGAAGCTCTAAACTCTGTCTGAAATGTGCAGAGGCTGAGGAATCCTTCATTCATATGTGGTGGCACTGTAAGTACACCCAAGAGTACTGGGAGATGGTCTACAATTAACTCAAAAAAATCCTTAAAATTACATTTCCAAAACCCCCCAAAGCCCTCTTACTAGCAACCATTAGCAATGAGATCTCCACAAAGGCACACAACATCTTTCTCTATGCAACAGTGGTGGCCAGAGTAGTTTATGCTAGAAGTTGGATGAAAAAAACCCAATTCCATTGAAAGACCAATGGCTGTATAAATTGTTAGAATTTGCTGAACTTTCCAACTTAACAGCCAAAATAAAAGATGAAAAAAAGATGAAGGGTGAATAGGACCCTTTTGGGGAATACTGAAATCAATCTAAAAGTAGGGGTGATCTTATGACGAATTGCTAAAATCAAGGAGGGGCAACAAGGGGAACAGTAGGGTGGAATAAAAAACTGATATGCAGCTTAGCTAGGAATACCAAGAACGCCACGGAAGGTTAGGTTGAGAAGTCAGAATAGAAATTATGTTGGATGGTGAAATATGATGTGTAAACATGACAACTGGAAAATGCATAAATAATAAATAAATTTAAAAAGAAAATAACATAAAACCAACCATATTATTTTATGTTATTTTCACAAATATGTGCAGTTTTAGGTACACTTTCCCCTTATGCACTTATTTTTATTCCTATTACTTTGTCTGGGAACCACATCACATAATTCAGGGAGCTATGAAGACTGCCTGCTTTTCAGTTCATGTACGATTTTGGAAAGGGTGAATTAGTAGGTTTTTAAAAAATAAAATGCAAACAGAATCAAAATTGCCCCCTCCCTACATTGTTGTAATGGATTTCTTTTTTTGAAAAAAATTATTGATTGTCCAAAATCGTTCCAATAACAGCCTCATTATAATAATATCAATTTTATCCAATTAATACAATTATTAATGCCAAATTATACAATTTAATTAAACTGCCCCACTCGCATGCTATAGTTGATGAGTTCATTCTTCTATATTTTTTCTGCATTCCAGAATTTCAATAATTTTCATTCCATTCCAGATTTTTGTGATTTCAATTTGTGTTGTTATAATAGGTAATTTATAAAGTTTCAAGTGAGGAACTTTAGCTGTAATCCTAATTCTTTCCTGCGCGTAACAATTTTTTCCATGATGTTTTCCCATCCATATATGGTGTTATATCCTTTATTCCTGCAACTGTTGATGATTCCCATCATGTCTCAGGAGAAGCTGTTATCTCACAGTTTCCAAAAGTCATTGCATCGCTTCATCCATTGATTCGGCTTCCAGTAAGGAAGCTGTCTTTGCCATTTTTCCAGCCTAGGAAGAAAGGTCTGAATCCGGACTGCAGATAGTTAATCCAAAAACTTCTATTCTCGCAGCTGGTAGACTTCTTTCCTCTCTGCTGCTGATTTATGGCCATTTACCCTTATCTCAAACATATTCCTTTGTGGATAATGAAGGTTAGGGAAGATTTTGCTCTATATTTTCAAAGCATAGCATTTCTTTCCTCCTTCCCTCTCAGTTCCTTTCTGTCACACGTGCAGTTCCAATTTTGTTAAATTCCATATTATTTTCCAATTTCTTCCATCTTCACTTGTGCAGATATTTGTTAATAAAACTTGCATTCAGGGGGCGGGGGTGTTGTTGTTGTTGTTGTTGCCTTATCATAAATATAGAGAAAAACCTTAAGTAAGCAAACCGTGGGCTCCCCTCCCCCCCATTGTCTCTTTCACTGAATGAAATCTGCTCTCAATCCAAAACGTTTACATCTTTGTAGCTGGGTTGTTTTTGCAGTTTCTTATCTCAACATCTCTGGCACGTGCCTGTAGTTTACTCCAGTTAAGTCCAATTAACAGGATAACCTGTGCTTCCAGGAATGGGATCGGGAGGGGGTCACGGCACCTGGAGTGCTCCGTGGTCTCAATGCCTTTGCCTGCCCTCACGTTCCATGGGGAAGTGAGTGCCAGACCACCAGGCAAACTGCGGATGAGAGCCTGGTTCCTCTTCCAACCAAAGAGGAATGCAAATAATGAAATTCCCCCATCATTATCTGATTATCTCCATCTGTCTCTCTCCCATTCCTGGAGAGAGAGACTCCATTCCTGGCACACTGGAAACAGGAAGCCCTGTAATGGTTTTCTTTTCGTTGGCGTTGGCTGGGAATATGGTCAGTCCACTGGGAGCCATGTGTCCTTCCATTTGTACATTAGATCCTTGTGCATCTTGGATAGTGAAATCAGCAAAAGCTGAGCTGGGTATCTGGACCTCAGAGGTTGTTGATGCCTCCTTGAGGGAAGATGTGGTCCTCACTTGTCAGAAAGATGTGCTGGTGAAACCACTTTTGAATAATTCAAATTAGAATCCCAGAGTAATGAGCAACTACCACCTGGTTTCAATTATATCTTTTGGGGGGGTGCTAGAATGGGTGTTGAGGGGACGCGGGTGGCGCTGTGGGTAAAACCTCAGCGCCTAGGGCTTGCCGATCGAAAGGTCGGCGGTTCGAATCCCCACGGCGGGGTGCGCTCCCGCTGCTCGGTCCCAGCGCCTGCCAACCTAGCAGTTTGAAAGCACCCCCGGGTGCAAGTAGATAAATAGGGACCGCTTACCAGCGGGAAGGTAAACGGCGTTCCGTGTGCTGCGCTGGCTCGCCAGATGCAGCTTGTCACGCTGGCCACGTGGCCCGGAAGTGTCTGCGGACAGCGCTGGCTCCCGGCCTCTTGAGTGAGATGGGCGCACAACCCTAGAGTCTGGCAAGACTGGCCCGTACGGGCAGGGGTACCTTTACCTTTACCTTTATAATGGGTCTTGGCTTTTCAGCTTCAGATGGTCCTGGACTGGATCCATTCCATCTTAGTTTCAGGATGTATTTTTGGTACAGAAACAGACTTGGTAGCCCTGAAAGATGACTTATGTGACAGCTTAGGGTAGGGGAGTGCCCGGACTTCTCAGCAGTTTTTGATACAATGGACCATTATATCCTTCTGGACTGCTTCTCTTGATTTGGCTTCGGAAGCCCTGTCTCCCCTGTTCTGAGCTACAAATGATTTTGTAGGTGCCTTCTTCCCTCATCAACTCTCTTCTGATTCACAAAGCAAACCTTATTGATTTCCCTCACATATCAACACAGGCAGCTTTCTTCCGCCTGCTCTGCCCAAACCCACTTTTGCTTTTGCAATGCAGATTTTATCGATTTAGTAGATCTAAGCATAGCTTTCTTCCCAACAATGTTTGCTCAGTTCTGAGGGTTTTTTAAAATGGAGTGGGCAACCCTGACCCCACACAGCAGAGGACACACATGAGGTGATGTTTTCTGTGTGGGGAAAGGGGCACGTCTACCCCCAATTTCCTGCTGTAGTTGGTTCTAGGGTTCAATCCCTAGCATCTTCAGGAAGAGCTTGGTCTGAAAATCTGTAGAGCTGCTCCCAGTCAGTGTAGACTGTACTGAGCTAGATAGACCAATGGGCTGTCTGATAGGAAGATTCTTACGTTTCAAAAGGCCTTGCTGCTGCTTTTAGTAGTATTAATAACAGTAATAGTATTTTAAAAGAGATTTTGAACTGCTTTCTTGTAGGGTATGCAATGTTACCTTAATTTGGCCAAGAATATCCTTTGCATCTCAACAGTCCATGTTTTGTTCCTCCCACTTCTTGGCTGTGAATAAAGGTTTCACACAGATATTGTATGCTGTTGGTCTCAAAAAACAACTAAACTCTGGACAACATTTCTAGCAAACTAGTTTTTGGAAGAAACTGATTTTCTGGATCCATTTCAATCAGGGTTTAGGTCCGGTTTTAGCACAGAAACTGCTTTGGTCACCCTGTATGATGACCTCTTACTGAGAGAGAGACAAGGGAAACATGTCCCTGTTAATTCTTCTTGACCTCTCAACAGCTTTCAATACCATTGACCACGGTATCCTTCTGGAGTGACTGTCTGGACTAGGGGTGGGTGGCACCGCTTTGTGGTGGTTACAGTCCTACTTGGATGGTTGTTTCCAGAAGGTGTGGCTTGGAGAATGCTTTTCAGTCCCATGGAACCTTCAACGTGTGGTTCCAGAGGGCTCAATCCTATCCCCCATGTTGTTTAACATCTACATGAAACCTTTTTAAAAGCAGGAGTGATGAAGTCATCTGCTGGAGCACAAGGGCAATTGATAGACACCTCTTTTTCTGGCAAAGTAAATGAAGTGATAGAGTGATAGAGAGGAAGTATTGCCTTTCTAATAAAAAGTTTAAGGTTTCATTTCACCTGCTGAATGATCTTTTCTTGAGGTTCAGTGGGTGGTATTCAGCTAAGCTTTATTCCCATTGAAATTAATTAATGTGATTAAGTTAGCATCATCCATTTTAATGGGTCTATTCTGAATAAAACTGAGTTGAATACCACCCAATATGTTTTGCAAGTTTAATATACACATGTGCCAGCATGACTAAGCCACTTCTGGCGAACCAGAGCAGCTCATGGAAATGCCGTTTGCCTTCCTGCCGGAATGGTACCTATTTATCTACTTGCACTTTGACGTGCTTTTAAACTGCTAGGTTGGCAGGAGCAGGGACCGAGCAACAGGAGCTCACCCCGTCACGGGGATTCAAACCACCGACCTTCTGATCAGCAAGTCCTAGGCTCTGTGGTTTAACCCACAGCACCACCCGCATCCCTTTGCTGTGCAAATTTACTTGGGATTAAATCCATTGAGCTCAAAGGAGCCTGCTCCCAGTGGACCCACATAGTATATTGCACTGTAAGACAGTTGAAGCTCAGAGCTCCCATAGTGGGAGGCAGAACACTTGACAGATCTGTGGCCCTCTGGATGTTGTTGGGATGCAACTCCCATCATCCCTACTATTGGCCATACAGTCTAGAGCTGATGGGAGCTGGAGTCTAACAACATCCACAGGACCACACATTCCCCATCTGTGGCACTGGAGATGTGGTACAGCCCCAAACACAGACAGACCTTTTCAGTGAGGAATAGGTCTAACTAGTTTGTCATGGCATGAGCTTTCATAAGGAAAAGTGATCCTGCTCCAAATAAATCGAGTCACTGTTGCATGCTATCTCTTTGTGGCCAAGCCTTCACTGCCTCATTCATATTTTGCAAAAAGAAAAGAAAAGCAAATGCGAGAAGATAACATTTCCTTTCCACTGTTGTATTTGGCTGCATTGTCCTTTTCCACTTGTTTCAGTTTAATGTTGTTTTTATCTGCTTGTTACCAATCCTTTGCTACCTTCTGTTGCATTTTCTTATTGCACTCCAGTCTTTTTAGCTTTGGAAGGGCAGGGGAGACAAATGATGGAAGGGTGAGGGTAATCTATGAAAAATTACACATCAGGGTAATCTATGAAAAATCATGCACGGTCGTGGGAAAAGTGAACAGGAGGGATGGGGGAGAAATTTTGTTTTGTTACTCCCTAATTTTCTCCTCCCATAGCAGCATGTGTCACCACAGTCACGCTTTGAAACTCACACTTCTCCAAATTTTGCAAAGCAATTCTACAGTCAAAAAGTGTTTACAATTAACTCCCCACCATTTCTGAAGACCAGTGATTGTTTCATCAGACAAAGGCCTGGATATAGAGGAGCATTTCTTCCATGTGCCTAAAGATATGTAACAAAGGCACCTGGTGAGATATGTAACAAAGGCTGCCCTGGGGAGAGCATTCCACCTACAGGGAGCTACCACAGAAAAGTCTTGTTCTTGTGTTACCACCCTCCCAGAGGGGGCACATGAAGAAGGGTCTCAAGCGGTGTTACTGAAAACCGGATATGAAAGTGAATTGGGTTAGAGGAGGAATTCAGTTCAGTTCATGTTTCAGTACAAAACCTCCTAACAGAAATGCAACTAGCCTTTGACACTGGATGTGCATATTTTTATGGCCCACTTTATTTCTGTAATTATAAATTGTTTTAAACTGTTTCTGTTATTCTGTTCTAATGTTGTGTTTTAATTTGTAACCTGCCCTGGGACCTTAGGATGAAGGGCAGACAATAAATTTAATAATAATAATAATAAATAATATGTACAGATTAACAAAAATAGCATACATAATAAATTATATTCTGCATGCAGAAAAGCATATATTAAGAGAAATTCACACTAAAATGCTGGTGAATTTTCACGATGACTTTTTATTGCAAACTGATCCAGAAATGAGGAGAACTGAACTGAGGTTTGGAAATATGAGAATTTGAGAAAAACTGAAATTGACTGGCTTCTCCTTCCCTGGTGGATAGAGAGGTTTTTCTTCCAATGCAATAACACAATACTTGAGGTTGTCCAAGGAAATTGATGGGCAAAGGAAAGAAGCTTGTGGCCCATCAGTGTCCCATGTAAATTCTTCTTTATACAACATATAAATTACATTGTGGAAACTGAAATTTCAGGTTTCCAGATTTATAAGACCTGTGCAGTGTTGAGGTGTTGTCTTCAACTTCACATTTTCTTTATGCTTTCAAGGTCCCCCTGATGTGGAACAGCCGTGCAAGGCCAGTGTTAGAACTTGGAGCCCCAATTCAGCAGTCATCAAGCAAACCATCCCTCCTGCCTGTCCTGAACCCCAGGGCTGCTACTTGGAGCTAGAGTTTCAGTACCCGGTAATCCCAGAGTCTCTGACCATATGGGTGACCTATGTCTCTGATGACTGGCATTTCAGCGAAGCGGTGAATGACATCAAACTCTTAATGGTCAGTGGGCGGAACATATCCCTTGGCCCTCAGAACTTCTTCTGTGATGTCCCCATGACCATCAGGCTGGACTCCAAGAAGGTGAATGAAGAAGTTTGTGGCATCCAAATCTACACTTTGGATGAACAGCTGGAGATTGATGCCGCCATGATAAGCTCGGTCCCACAGAGCAAGCAGTGTGCCAACTGCCGACCTATCTGGTACAAAGTAGCCCGGGACCCTCCCTTTCAGAAGGGCTCTCCATTCATCATCTCAGACCTCAGCCGGAAATTCATGGACACGTAAGTACTGATAGCGCAAAGGCAAACAGCTCTTGGTTTTATCTGTTGGCGCAAAGCTTTGATCTGAGAACACTTCAGAAATGTGTGATTGTGGTCACCGTAAGCAGGACCTGCAACAAAATGTTATAGCACTCCTGTTCAGTGTTCCACCCACCCAGACATGCCCTGTTCTAGGATACTCCATGAATTCCTCCTCCCACCTTTTTGTGCTCACCCAGTCCGCATTGTGCTATTTGGATTCCACCCCCTTCATTGACAATGTTATTTTTTCGTACTTCAGCAAACCTTCTGTTCCTCCCAAACCTGCTGACACTTCCCTCCTCTGCACAAATGATGTTGGTTTATCTATGTAAGGAGCCACACTTCAAGATATGAGTTATATTATTATAAGCAGTGAAATGTACTCCACCAGGCATCCCTATGTGGCCCTCAGAATTCCCCCCCCCCCATTTGAATGGAATGAGTGTGTGTAAGAACTAGCCTTCTGTGCAAAGGTAGAATTTACATTCTTTGTTCCATCCACTTTTGCCTTTGTCCCCCGTCTGCCACTGGCCAAAAGGGAATTTGGCTTTCAGGCTAAAAAAAAGTGGCTTTCCCACCGCTGGAATATATTATGGTAATAATTGCAAGCCAGTTTTCTGCTTGAAGAATGCCATGTGACTTGCATCAAGAGAGGCAATGAAGAATGACATTCTGAGGACCTGTTTGAAGGACAGGGTAGGAATATCTTCGATAAACAAGTATGGTTTGATCTAAGCTGGGAAGTAGGACTGATTCAGTGAGGATATTGGACGTTAATGATGCCATAGGGTTAGAGACCCAAATTTGATTGGTGCAGAAGCACCAGAACAGTTAAAATTTCTCCTTGTCCTATCTACAATTTCCCTGATAGTACATACCAACATCTAAACATTTCCTACAATGTCAACAGGGAGAAAGGTTAAACCTCCCTCTCCAAATGCTATTCCTCCAATCAAATTCACAGCCCCTCCTCCTGCCCCAGTAGTTTCCTTTAAGGGAGGAAATGAGTATGCTTGTACGGTGTCAGATTCTGTGCTTTGGGATAAATTCTTCTGAGGCAGGAGAGCATGTCCATCAGGCCACTCTCCAGATGGCCTGTTTGGTGAGCATTTGTCCTGATTTGTTTGTGCAAATTTTGAAGGGACATTAGAAAACTGTTTACTGAGCATTCATTCTGATTTTTTATGGGGAGATTATATGTCTTTTTTAAAAAAACAAAAAACTTTTTTATGTCTCAGTTTCTAAAAATACATATGGCAAGCAATCTCCATAGCCCCCCCCCCAAGAAACATTCCATGCATATGCAGTCAAACAGTGAGTTTGTAAGCAGTTTTGAACTGATTACAACAGTTGGGTAGCTTCTGCTCTTTGTCTTAACAGATTGTCTCAGAGTGAGCCATGGGTGAGAGGACAACATTGTCCTTTCCAGCGTACTGAATAAACACATGTAATACAGTTTCAAAAATCATCTTTGGTCTTTGCACTTCTGAGCATTGTAGGATGCTTCATTGGTTTCTGCATAAGGGCTAGATTCCATATTCTAATTCCACAGTGCCTCTAGAGTTAAGTTGGTAGCTATTTTCTAATACTATATTAATATATTATATGACTTTTTGCCAAGTAATCATCCCACCGCCCCCTTTAAAGTACATTTTCCTGACACTTTCCTTATTGCCAAAAGTACACACACACACACACACACACAAACAAACAAACAAACAAACAAACACACACAATTTTGGTGAGGGGAGTGGAGTTGTTGCGCAGGACTGCCAAATCAACTGAGCAACCTGCACTTGCTGGTATGTGATTGAATCCCACCCATAAATTGCAAAAGTCTGGAAGTACCCTATGCCTCAAAAAGCCCCTTTCATGTTAAACCCATCAGGGGTTACTGAACCAAGATCTGAAGTACACCAAATTTCAGTTGTGTGCCCTTCAGCCAGTGGCATGGCTTCTTGCTGTGTAGTTTGCAGCTGCAAGCCAGCGCTGAAAGGTTGGAGCAAAGCGCCCTTGGAGAGGCCACAGTCAAGTCTGCCTCTTGCTGACTTGCATTTGGCTCTGGGTCAAACCTCTGTGCACAGAGGCTTGAGATAACATGACCCCCTGCTTTGTGCAAAAAGAAGCATGATCTCCAATCTCCACTGAATGTGGTCAATTTGCTAGAGCTCATCCCCACAGCTGCCTCCTGCTATTGCATTCCTTCCCACTCATCCATCTCCAGACTCTGTCAGTCTGTCTTCTTGTTTTCCCCCCCTGAAGCCCTGCTAGCCAGAGGAACATTCTGACTCTCAAACATTCAGATGTGGCTGCCAGGTCCACCTGCTGGGGGCTGGGGATTAAAGTAAATTTAATGGCATGCAGCCCCACCCAAAATGAAACACAGAGCTTTGAGGAGATCTTAGCGCTGCTTCTTTTCATAGGAACATAAGAAGATAGCTTATACAAGGCTGGGCCACCAGAACCATCGTATCTAGCACTGTCTGTTCTAGCTTGGGGAACCTTTTTTTCCTGTTGGGGGTCGTGTTCCCTTGGGGAAAATCTCTTGGGGGCCACTTATGGGTGGCGGGTGGGAACAGAGTCATAAGGGGGCAGGCAGGGCATCCCATTCTTCTCCCTCTGCCACCATTTTCTCTCTTTTCTGCCCCTCTATCTTGCCACCCCCACACTCTTTTTGCCATCCCTTCTCTCCCTTGCCACCACCTGCCTCCCCATTCTTTCTTTCTTTTTTCTGCCACCCACTTCTCTCTCTTTTCCCCTCTTCATTTCTTTGGGGGAAGGGCTGGAGCTCACTGGCAGAACATATTTCTATGTGGAGAGTCCCTCAGTCCTCAGCATCTCTCATGTAGGACTGTGATTATTTTCTCCCATCTGAAACCCAGAAGAGCCACTGCTACTCAGTCAAAGCAATACTTTGTTAGATGGACCAGTGGGTCTGATTCAGTATAAGGCAGCTTCTTCTTAGAGAAAGGGCTGTAATTCATAGGTAGAGCATCTGCTTTGCATCCAGGTAGGGCCTGGAGTCTCCCTATTTGAAACCCTTTGGAGAGCTGCTGCCAGTCAACGTAGACCAGAGCTACATGGACCCAATGGTCTGACTCACTGTAAGACTGCTCCCTGTGTTCCTTCATCCCTTGCTTCATTCAGGCAACCCCATTCATGCCTTGACCTAGAACAAGTCCTGCAGATCCTGATTTGTGTCTGGAGCAATGTGTTGGTCCATTGGTTGCTGTGAGTTGTTGTTGTTGTTGTTGTTGTTGTGGGGGGGGGGGTTTGAGGCCAGTTGCAAATGTGATGGTAACAGTGGAGATTAAGTCAAGACACAAAGTCCCTCCCAAGGGAAACATTATGGAGCATCCTTTCAGAAGAGACACCTTATTTAACTTTCTACATGCAGCTCTGTCCCTCCCAAGGTAGAGCAGATGTTCCTTCTTTTCTTATCTCTAACCCTGGTAAATCACCACCCGCAGGGCGGGCTCAAGATGTTTTGCCACTGTAGACAAAACACCCCAATGCCCCTCTCCAACGCTGCCTACCTCCGCAGATCCGGGTCCCCAATCCCTCCTTGCCCTTGCTGTCAGGCCTATGCTGCTTCCAGACCTGTCAAGGCAACTGTACCCTCACCTGCAGCTGCGTCTCTGCTACCACCGTGACAGTGGCAAGGGCAAGGGCAACAGGGCTGTGTTGGCAATGTGGGTGAAGTCCTGGCAGGGCCGGCAATAGTGCAGTGGTGGGGGAGAGGCACATGGATCTGCCTCCTGAAGCAAATGGCTTCACCTCACCTAATGGACAGGCCACCCCTGACCTTCCCTATTTCCCAGTCCTGCTAACTGGGGGGCAAGAACCTTCTTAAAATGTTGTTAGTGTTACTTTCTCCCTCTGTCACCTGTAGTTCAGTCTTCACACAGTGCATGGTTCAGTGAATGGGCAAATGCTGCACTGCCTGGCAAACCTTGGTCTGCCCTCAGCTACGCTTCACCTGCCTGCCTTCTTTCTTTCCAGCCAGTCCAGAGGGTGGCACTGGCTGCCGGCTTCCTCTTCATTATTCCCCTTAAAGAGAATAGCAAAACTAAATTTAGTTGGCCCTTGCTTTCATTGGCTCTGGCTTAGCTGAAAGGCCTTTGCTCAGAAACGGAGCACTTGCTTTGCATGTGCAAAGTACCAGGCTCAATCCCTAGCTTCTCAAGGGGGGTCTGGGAGAGACCCATGCATAAAACCCTGGAGAGCCAGTCCCAGCCAGGGTATACAACACTGAACCAACTTTCTTTGTATTCCTAATGTTTGGTCTCCCTGCCTTCTGCCCCTACCAGTCCCAATAGGCACCACTACACAGCTCACAGCTAAATGCTGGGATTTGCTGCCACAAGATTTGCAAAGCACCACCAACTAGGACAGTGTCAAAAGGGAACTAGGAAAAATCATAGATGATCATGAGCGATCAATGGGCTTATGGGCTTCCCAGACTCATCTGGGACCGATTGACCTGTGGGATTGCCTTACCCCATATGTGCCCACTAACCTTTTTGATGTGTACAACTGGCACTGTTGCAGGAAACTAGCACCATAGTCTCCACATAGAAATGCATAGCTGGCCCCTGAGATCCCAGCCAACCCCACAGCCCTGTGGCTTTTCGCAGAGATCATGCCTGCACGTGGCCTGTTTTGCCCTCCTGTCCATCATTCACAGGAGACTGTAAAATCCAGACATGGTGATGTTAGTTTGCTGCCCCTCTTGTGGGATCCAAATGTTCTTTGGCACTCTTGCCTTTTAAATCAACTTCATAGTGAAAAGAGGGGTGGGATGTGCATTTGTTGAAGGGGCAGAGAGATTGTTGTGTGTCTTTTGCACCTGTTCCCTCTCTAGCCAAATAAGTGAAAATGCAGCTGAAATAACAGGAGAGCAGAATAGCCGTCTGAGTTTTGACGTCTTTCCTTTGTTTACTGCATACTGCACTACTACCCTGTACCTCCAACACACG